ATATCTGAGAAACTGGAATGAATACAAACACAAAAGATACAGAAATGTATTTAGTTAGTGATGACGAATCAGAATCACAATGTTAGAAATCAAGGTGGAGCTGCCACACCCAGATATAAGACGAAATGTGTGAAAGTGTGCATATATCTGAGAAACTGGAATGAATACAAACACAAAAGATACAGAAATGTGTGTAGCAAGTGATGATGAAACAGAATCACAATGTTAGAAATCAAGGCGGAGCTACCACACCCAGATATAAAATAAAATGTGTGAAAGTGTGCATATATCTGAGAAACCGGAATGAATACAAACACAAAAGATACAGAAATGTATTTTAGTTAGTGATGACGAATCAGAATCAAAATCATAAAATCAATGAATAATGTTAATTAATAATATACATGTATGCTGCCATTTGAACTAAAAAACAAAAGAAATTACATAAAATTTAAAAACTGTACAACTATCATAGTTTCAGATATACATTAGTATAAAAAGATACCTACAAAGTTAGCTTGGTCAGGCCTTAATATTTAGTGTTGGATGGGCCTTATCTTTTATCCAATCATCAGTCAAAATCCCTTTCAATGCTTTTAGTATAGATTTAGCACCGTATAAGTGTAGTTGGTCCAGTCTATAGAAAAAGATATAATGTTACCTATATGTGGGTAAAGATAGTAGAACATAATATAGCATGACTTAAATCAAAGACAGAGGCTATTACTTGTTCCCCTCACTGTAATTTCATCTTGAGTTTCATTCCCCTCAGTCTTGTTTATCTTATCTTTGTTGCACTGTAAAGTAAATCAATAAATGAATCTTACCCCTAACCTAACCTAGCAGTTGATCCACATCATGTTTGTTTGTAGCTGTGCAGTCAGAAAAAGATTATTCCCCTGAGTCAGCCATTTTCATTATAAGCGCCCACGCATTTGCCAAAAAATACTGTGAAAGCCACAAGAATTTAATTATTTCATTCAATGGAATGTGTGGCTGTGAATGTGTGGATCGCTTCAGCAGAGTCAGGAGTGGAACTAGTTTGAATGCCAAACATTCAAACTATTGATCCCCTGAAACAGGAGTGGAACTAGTTTGAATGCCAAATATTCAAACTATTGATCCCCTAAAAAAGAGGAACTCGTTTGTAACGCTAAGACATACAAACTATGGATCCCCATTTTTGAAAACAAAGGTGTGGAACTAGTATGTGCGTGAGACGTCAACATAAACACAAACACTCATTTTTGTTTAAAACTTACTAACTCAAAAGGGAAGGCTGAGAGAAAGTTAGTCTCGAAGTTATCATGCAGGTGATATGTGTTTATCTTTACAGGTGAGAGGACTGACGATAAAATTGTGTGGGAGAAGAATACCGAAATAGAAGTCATTGCGTCATTCACAGCCAATCAAAGAACACCAAGTGTCAACTGTGACCTTTAGGATATAAAATAAGACACCTGAAACTGTAAGTTCAAAATCAAAAAGTAATGGCTGCCCCAATAGAGGATGTCCTCATTGAGGTCCATCCATCTGATGGTAAGTTGGGAATGTGTAACCCTATAGTGATAACTATAATGCCTTTTTTTGGTAGATGAACTTGGTAAGTTGTTTATATGTTTGTGTTGTACATTAAAAAGCAAAAAATAACTGTATTTATAGCAGAAAAAGAAGTCA